GAGGCCAGCCTGGGCTACCAAGTGAGTTCCAGGAAAGGCGCAAAGCTACACAGAGAAACCCTGTCTCGAAAAACCAAAAAAAAATAAATAAATAAATAAAATAAAATAAAATATGTGCATCTAAATAAGGATCAAGGCGTGGCTCTGCCCATTATTGTCCCATTATTGAGTCTCATCTGGTAAGGAGGTTGGGACAATGGTTAAAACCATGAACTCTTTTACAGGAAGATAAAAGTCCCACTCTAGCTGGAGCCTTTTCCGTAAGATTCTTGGGGAAATTCCCATTTCTTAGGGGTCCATTATTTTAATAGTTTAATAGAGTGAGAATCAAGAGCCTCTTCAAAATACTTTGATTTTGGCCTGGCTTGGTGCCCCACACCTTTAATCCCAGCAGTTGGGAGGAAGAGGCAAGTGGATCTTTGTGAGTCTGAGGACAGCCTAGTCTACAGAGCAAGTTCCAGGACAGCCAAGGCTACACAGAAGAGTCCTGTGTTGAAAAATAAAAGACAGAAAGAAAAACCAACCATCCAAAAACTTCATTTCTCTCTCTCTCCTCTCCTTTCCTCTCTTTTTCTTGTGACAGGGTTTCTCTGTGTAGCTTTGGAGTCTGTCCTGGAACTCTCATAGACCAGGAAAAACTTCATTTCTACCAGGCTAGTTACAATCTTAGATAACATCTGTAAGCAGCAAAAACACTATGTAGCAGGTGGCGTGGCCCACACCTTTAATCCCAGAACTTTCGAGGCAGAGGCAGGCGGATCTCAGGGCTTGAGGCCAGCCTGGTCTATATAGTGAATTCCAGGACAGCCAGGCTACATAGAAAAACCCTGAAGACAAACAAAAGCCTTATAATACACATGCTGGAGCACTAAAAATCAGCTATTTCATGAAAACAATGTTGCCTTCCCAGCCATACCGGAAGAAACTACAACAGGACAAAGAGAAAAATCAAAGCTTCAATTTTGCTATCCCATCCCTTTTACAGTTATGTCCCCAAAACTGAAGACTGTAGAAACTTTTACAGATCAGAAACTTTATGAATTCTTTGGCAAGGGGTTCAAAGGAAAAATACCCCTATGATTTTATAGCTAAATGACCTTGGTAAATTTTTAAAACGAGACATTTTTCTCTGGCTGCCCTGTGTCCTTCCTCTGACTGACTTCAAGGCCCTGACGGGAAAACAAATAGATCTAACATTTTAACAGCCGAGTTTTCCCCTTTGGAGACATGGTCTTGCTGTCTCTTCGATGGCCAGAAACTGGTGCTCTTTCTGACTTAGCCACAGGGGTTTACCCGTCTCAGATTACAGGCATGTGCCTTCCCAGTTTGGCTTCATTCTCACAGAATGAAAGCCCAACTATTCTGAAAACTAGAGTATTGATTTGCAAAAGTCGGGTAGTTTACAGGAAAGATATATGTATTTTTGCTTTGGATTTTTTTTTTTTTTTGTTTTTTTTTTTTTTTGAGACAGGGTTTCTCTGTGTAGCGCTGGCTGTTCTGGAACTTAGACCAGGCTGCTGGCCTCGAACTCAAATCTGCCTGCCTCCATCTTCCTAGTGGAATTAAAGGCCTGTGCCACCACTACCGCCAGCGCTTGTTTTGGACTCTTCAAAGCTCCAATTTAAGACTAGTGGGTAACAGCAGGGTCCTCCAAGCTCCACCTCTGGGTCCCACAGGATGAACAGAGAACCAACATCTACAAGTTGTCCTCTGTGGTGGTTTAAAAGAAAACGGCCCCCAAAGGGAGTGGCACTATTAGGAGGTGTGGACTTGTTGGAGTAGGTGTGGTCTTCTTAGAGGAAGTGTGTCACTATGGAGGTAAGCTTTTTGGGGGTCTCATATATGCCCAAGACAAGCCCAGTGTTTCAGTTCACTTCCTGTTGCCTTCGGATCAAGAGGTAAAGACTCTCAGCTCCAGCACCATGTCTGCCTGTGTGCTGCCATGGTTCCCTCCATGACAATAATGGACTGAACTTTGTAGCCCTAAGTTTCTCCAGTCCCACCCGGCCCCGCGGTCCTGCAGTCGCTTATAAAATAATCACTCAGAGGCTTAATATTAATTGCAAATTAATGGCCTATGGTTCAGGCTTCCTACTAGCTAGCTTTTATGACTTAACTTAACCCATGACTATTAATCTATGTATTGCCATGTGTTCCGTGGCTTTACCTGCGTCCCATTACATGCTGCTCCTTGGACAGAGGTTTGGGGTCTCCACAATCTCCTTTCTCCTCTCACTATCCCTCTTGGATTCTCCTGCTGGCTCCATTCTCCATAGGCCAATGCAGCTTTATCAACCCATCAGAGCAACACATATTCACAGTGTACAGAAAGACACCCCACAGCAAAATCTCTGAACTGTCAGCAAGCAGTTTTAATTAAATGTGTTCTTTATAAGAGTTGCCGTGGTCATGGTGTCTCTTCACAGTAATAGAAACCCTAAGACATCTTCTGAACACTCACATGTGCCTTATGGCACCTGTGTACCCTCCCACACATACACATACACACTAAATGATGTAATTTTTTTATTATGAAGATTCAAGGCAGAGTCCATAGACCACAAAGTTGAGAAGAATAGTATGTATTAAAGGAAAAAAAAAACCCCAACAAGATAGCATTATAATTTAAATGTGAAATGTCCCCTTCAGGTTCATATGTCTGAACAATTGGTCCCTGGCTGACAACACTATTTGGAGGTTGTGGAACCTTTGCAAGGAGGTGAGACCTGGGAGGATCACTGGGAGGATCACTGGGCATCGGGCCTTGAGAATTATAGCTCGACTGGGCTTCCAGCTGGCCTCTCTGCTTCCTGTTCTGCTCGGAGTTAAGGGGTCCTGGCTGCACAGCTGTGTCTCTGTGGAGTGGAGCTGCCTGCTGCCACGCTTCCCGCTCCGTGATGGACTGTATTCCCTTACCATGAGCCCATGTACATCCATCCCTTAAGTTGTGTTTTTCAGGTATCTGTCACAGAGCGGAGAAAAGCCACTGTTTCAGATGAGTGCGTAGCTCAGTAATAGAACACAGTGGGAGCAGTGTCCTGAAGTAGCAAGGGTTGGCCCTCAGGACAAAGGAGCAGAGAGGAGGGTCCTTGTGTCAGAACCTACCACAATGCTTTTTTTTTTTCTCTCCCAACATATGCACCTCACGCAAGCACATATACCCATGTACAGAGAGACTGAGTGTGTGTATTTGCATATGTGTGTGCAAATGTGTGCATATAAGAGTGTCTTAGGATCTAGAGAAAATCTTGAAACTTTTCCTAATGCTAACTGAACTGAACGGTGAAGTGCTTGCCAGCAAGGAGAAGCCCTCAATGTACCCTGACCTGAACAGAGATTGTCCTGCTTGGACCGGGAGGTCAGGTGGCGTCACTGTCTGGCAGATCACAGAGACTTTGCCTACGACACCTAAGCCTGTCTCCACGAGAAAGCTGGGCAGAACTAAAAGGAATATCCGCCCCCACTACCTCGGATGACTGAGTTCAAGCACCAGTATAATGGCGTCCTCTTCGCCTCACAAGGTTAGGCTTCCTGCTGTCAATGGAAAGGCATCCATTGCAGCTACTGTGGGGTCCTGTTTCTGAAGGGATCTGTTAAAAACCCAGCTTTTCTCCAGGTGGCATTCCGTGGAACAACCTAAAGGGAAGAACTTCTGTTTTTGACTGTGACCGTGGAAGCCACAAAGGTATGAAGACCTCCATACAGAGTGAGGAGCAAGTACTCCAGCCATGGCTGAAGTTCTGGATTCGTTTGAAAAACACCTCACAGTGAGGGGGAAATTTTGGCACAAAATATGTGAGGTCACAAGTCATGCAGATCGCAGTGATAAGGCAAGGAGTCCTGAATGTCAAAGCCAGAATTTTTTAATATACATTTTATTTGATTATTATTATTTTTTGAGACAGGATCTCTCTACATAACCCTAGCTGTCCTGTGTAGACCAGGGTGGACTCGATCTCA